GGATAAAACACAGACTGTTTAGAAAAACATAAAACAAATGATCCTTTCTTTTAAGGAAACATTTTCTTTGGAAGTATGTCATACATCAAACCAACAGCATGTCTCTGGTCTTGGACTTAAATATAATCACATTGAAAACTGAAGAATGTAGAAATCTTACTCCCTTCTAATTACTTCTGCTTGTATCATTTAATCTCGAGTAATTATTTAGTTATACCTAAAAAGCTAATGTAACATTAGAATTTCAATCCAGTTTTCTGAAAGTGATGAACATTAGTTGATTATCGCAAGCGTAAAACAATTATAAATTATGACTGACAGTGTGTTGTTTTGTGTATTAGAAAAAATCACCACATTGTGATAATGGGAAAGGCTCAGATTTCCAAATATAAAACCTGTCAAGTCTTCCATGCAACTGAGCTATTAAAGTTGAAAAATTATCATTTAGAACAAACATTTCACACAGGGAACTTAAAAGCAGGCTGAACAGTTGATTGTTAACTTTGGGCTAAGTTGCAGCACACTGAAAATCTCTGTGCTCAGCATGGCAAAATTTTCAGTTACTGATTTCATCATTCAGCAAGATAACTTTCTAATGTTAGAGTTCTCCCAAATAGATTGGCAAGTTTTCAGTTCTGGTGTGATTGTACTGGTGCTCAGCTGAGTGATCAAGAGGGAAATGTATTGCTGCCATAATGACAGGATTTTTGTGCTGGGATATAATTTATACAGAAGTCAAGGAGAGCATCCAATGTCTTTTACAGCCAGTTGATAACTCTACAGTCTACCTGCAAGTGAGATGCATTATCTTTGGAAGAGGACAAGAAACGGACTGCAGCAGTTAGATCTGGTCAACTATTATTTCAGATTTATAGCTTTTTTTAACTGAAGATAAATTTTTATGGCTGCATTGGATGGTTGGTTTATTTGCTTGTTTTTGATATTATCTGTCTTTTCATTGTTCTGTTTCTTCAAGTAAGTGTGAAAACTCAGATTTCCCTGCCCTTGACAAAATGTAAAGCACTTGTTTCAATTAAAACTTTTTGTTAAAGGTGTCTATAAAAATAGGCAAAAACATTTGACTGAGAATTTTTTTTTAACCTCAATATTTTTGTAGAAAAAAAAAAAAAAAAAAAGAATGCCTTGATCAGATGCAGTTGAACAAGACTGGTTTTTTTTGTTTTGTTTTGTTTTGTTTTTGCCAGCTGTGTTGCTCCCCAAAAGGTCACAGCTTATGTCAGCCCTGTTAATCATAGAATCATTCAGGTTCGAAAAGACCTCTAAGATCATCTAGTCCAACCTTTAACCCAGTGCTGCCAAGTCCACCATTAAACCACATCACTAAGCTCTAATCTACATGTTTTTGAAGACATGAAGATGGTAACTCCACCACTTTCCTGGGCAGCCAGTTCCAACACTTCACAACCCTTTCAGTAAAGATTTTTTTTGTAATATCCAACCTAAACCTTCCCGGTGCAACTTAAGGCCATTTCCTTGGTGCTTGGAAGAAGAGACCAATAACCATGCTGCTATAGCCTCATTTGAGGTAATTGTACCATGTGATATGGTCTCCCCTGAGCCTCCTCTTCTCCAGACTAAACAACCCCAGTTCCCTCAGCTGCTCCTCATAGGACTTCTGTTCCAGGCCCTTCACCAGCTTTATAGGCCTTCTCTGGACATGTCCAGAGCATGCACCTCAATGTCCTTCTTGCAGTGAGAGGCCCAAAACTAAACACAATACTCGAGGTGTGGCCTCACCAGAGCTGAGTACAGGGGGACAATCACTTCCCTAGCCCTGCTGGCCACACTGTTTCTTATACAAGCCAGGATGCTGTTGGCCTTCTTGGCCACCTGAGCACACTGCTGACTCATATACAGCCGCCTATTGACCAATACCACCAGGTCTCTTTCTGCCAGGTAGCTTTCCAGACATTATTTCTCTATCCTGTAGCATTGCATAGGATTGTTGCTCCCCAAGTGCAGGACCCGGCTCTTGGCCTTATTGAACCTCATACAGTTGGCCTTGGCCCATTGGTTTCACCTATCCAGATCCCTCTAGAGCTCTCCTACCCTCAGGCAGATCAATACTTGCATCTAATGGTACAGGCTGATTCCTACCAAGGAAATATCTAAAAAAACATTGATCAGATGCAGAGCTTTAGACAACAGAGGAAGGAGGACCCAGCATTCACAGCATGAGTTCCCCAGAAGTTGTGTCTAGTTTGGGAAGCAGCTGTGATTCAATGGCTCCTTCTGCTAAAGCAATATTTACACATTTATGGTCCTGCTCTGCTAAGCGGGAGAGTAGAGAACTCCTCTACCCCTTGCTCCCTACCCTTTCTGATGCTGCAAAAGTAATCACTCTTCAATAGCAACGCACATACATATCACATGCAGTGGAGGAAGGTGAAGTTATGCCCAGCACCTTTTATCCGGTGAGGGTTTAAAGACTTATGGTAGTACATTTAGTGGCAATTTGAATTATCAGTATTTGTTTGCAGTTGTACAAATCAGTGTAATACTCTTCAAAAGTCAGATTACAGCTGTCTCCTAGTGTTTGTTTCATGGGTTTTGTTTGGTTTTGTTGTTGATCCTAGTTTTTGTTTGCTTTTAGATTTTGCAAATGCAAAGCAAATTCCCTGAACATTGCAAAAGAGGAAAATGCATGTTACACACTTACACCCAGTTGGCTGTCATTGTTATGCAATGCTTCTAACTAGTGTATAAGTACTTAGCTCACATTTCCTTGCTCTGCTCACCGCTTCATCCATAGTGAGTGCTATTCAATCATTTAAAAATTTATCATTTTCTTGCTCACAGAAAAAAATGGCATAAGCAAGCAACTTCATACAGGTGACCTCTGTAAATTTATATTCTGTGTGACAGAATCCTTATTTTTAATAGAAGTCAGGTATTTTCATACATATTTTCTTACTAGATTGCATAGAAATTTAATGTTGTATAATGCCTATGAAAAATAATATTAATAAGAATTTGGATCTGGATATATTTGTCATTTAATTTCATATGCACCACATTTCATGAAAAAGCCATGTTACTCATATGAGCAGTATTAACATAATAAATAATGGACAATTGACATCATAAAACCATAAATGCTATTCTGGAAGAAACATTTGGACGTACAGTAGGGTGTAAGTATGGATAATAAATGAAAAGTGTTCAGCAGCTTTCTCCCTGTCTCTCCTTCTCCCTTTCTCTCTTTCTCATTTCTTTCCTCCCTTTCCTCACCATTCTCCCACCCCTGCTGCCCAGTATAATTTAGATAAGTTCCAACATAACAAATATACTTCACAAAGTTAATTTACCTTCAGATTTAGTGATGACTCACTCAATTTTTTAACAGAAAGAACATGCAGCATGCACATATGCATATAATCTCTGTGTTACAATCACCACACCTCTGGTGCTTATGATGTGTAAGACCAACTCTCCATTCTCTTGCAACAGTTTTATGCTTCTGCATGTCATCAGAAGTCATTTTAATGAGTATCAGGATCTTGTAGCATAGTAATGGGTCTTTCTGCATTAAGAATCATTCCCTTTTACTCGTATTTCTTCATTTCTAAATACAGGATGGGCAGAAATTCCTCTTCTTGTTTTCCTTCCTCCCCTTAGGAGTTTGCTAGAGGTGCTGAGTTATATTCCAGTTACTTTTACCTGCTCAATTTTCATGGCACCAAAGGGAAGAAGAAGCCTGGTGTATCTGTAATGTTTTCATCTTGGGAGTCTGATGCATGAGTACATGAAGTCCTCCAGCTCTAAGTGAGGCTTCTCTCCATCATGCTGCTTTGCTAAGAATTCTCTGTTCATCATCTTGGGTGACAAAACAAGATATCTATCTGCATCTCAGCCACTGTGGTGCCCCACTTGCATATATTCACAGACCCTGCTTTTTCATACTTCTAAATGCATACACTAACTTATGAGCTGAGACAGCTGTGAGGAACAGGCAAATTTTTTATGTATGTGACTGTAACATGAAGCAGGGTGTTGAGACATGCATCAGTGCCAGCAGCCTGCAGCAGCATCCATCTGCCAGAAACTTTATGCTGCAGTTTTACATGACAGTTAGAACAGCTCCACGGCAGGCCACTGCAGCAAGTCTCCTTTTTTCTTCTTTTGTTTAAAATAGTATTATAGCCTCAGGGTGAGCCCATTCATCCATTTTTATTCAAAGTAAAACTCTTCCTGTTAATTTATTTATTAATTGCTTGCAGAATTACTTTTTTTTTGCCAGATCAAACAGATACACAGACTTGCTCTTTATGGCTAAAATACTGTGCAAGTGACTAGGATGTGTGGCATTGTGTAGCCGGTAAACTGTCCCTTTTGACAGCACTCATTTTCAGATCAGTTCAGCCATATTATAAAACAAATGTGATTCTAGTTAGGTTAAAAACTTGATCTCGTGACAGCTTTGGTCCATATAAAGTGGTGCCACTTCCATCCTGACCATCCTGAGTCATATCACTGCTCGTTACTCATTCCCAGTACCTCATTTCTACTGCCACTGCCAAAGATGCTTTTCTCATCCTTCAGTGAGCTAGTTAAGGACACCAAACCAGCAGGAAAATGTCTCTATTTTTTTTTATAGTACTCTGCTGATATAAGAAATTACAGACATTTGATAAGTCTCCATTATCCATGAATAGGGCAATTCTATCCTTTGCAGCGTATGGCAAGAGATCACATGTAAGTTCATCTGTCCAAGGCCCTACCTGTACAAGTAGCCCTTTTCCTGAGTATACATGTAGTCTTATCAAGCATGAGGAAGTTTCCTTCACAAGATTTGAGAAATACCTACTGTAGTGCTGTAGTGGAAAGATATTTACCATGATGTAAAAGACAAAGATTCTTCATATGGTCAATTCCTTTATCTAACTCTTCAACATTCCTTTATTACAATTTTTCAATATCTTTGAGTATTTTGTGTTTTATTTCCTTTTTTTTTTTTTTTGTAATCTCTTGTGTTTCAGTTGAGATCAAGCTCAGAGCTTGGCCGGGACATCCTGAATGACTGCCTCACAATCCAGCCCCTCCAGCCAGCCCCATCACCACATGATGTTGCGGATAATACCATGGGACACTCCCCAGGGCCTATGCATGATATTTACTCAGGTATAAAAAAAGATAGGAAAACAGCCTGATATATTATTGCTTGCCTGTGATTATGGATGATTTTGTAAAGTATTCTAAATTTCATATCTATCATATGAGAGTAACAGAATCTGCAAAATCATCTGGAAAGATTTTAAAGAGATTTTTTTTTTTGAAGGGAAGGGGGAAAAATTATTTTGTCCATGAAAAAGACCTACCACAATCAAGAAAAATGAAAAAGACCTACCACAATCAAGAAAAAAAATATCTCTATAGGTGTTTGACTTATAGCAATTCACTTCTACAATTGATGTCTACTTGTAGACATCTTGAATTCATTAACCTTCATTTAGTTTTAAAGAGGATGTTATTCCTGTTCATTATGCTTGTATCACATATCAATTTTCTAATAGATCTATATCAGTGAACTTAAATGCTGTGTTATAAACTTTCATATTATGATTATAAATACAAAAATAAACACATTTGTGCTATAAATGTGATAATCCTATTTTTATTGTTTCAGTTAAATACTTGAGATTTTCATATTAATATATCTAAATCTATAATACCTGGCTAAATGTGCAATAGCTATTCATGTTTCAGCTAAATATAAAACACTGGAGAAATCATGAGTGAAAATATATCTCAAACTTCAAGACCAGGCAGGATGTTTACATTTTTATGGAGTATTGTAGTAGTTGTAAAAACATCTGTTTTTAACCGTTGAACAGAATGCATTGCATCATCTAGTAGTCCAACTTTTAATTGAGAACCAGATGTAGGAAGTGAGAGAAATGATATGTGGAGTGCTGAAAATGACATTATATAAAGTGAGCACTTTAATAAGAGGTTTACTTTACTGAGAGGCTTGGAAACATAGAAGTTCTTTAAGTTTTTGTCAAGGATGCCATGAACTACGAAAATTAAAGTTGTCTGTTAAAGTTGTGATATCATAATTTATGCATTAGCTGGCATTACTAGTAGGCTGTTAACCTTTACATGCCTTCATCTGATTATTGTCTGAGTACAGCACCTGCTATCTGAGAGCTAAAGGAAAGTTCAGATTTTAAAGACCTGTTGGTTACCATGGAACCTCTAGTGACATGGTAGTGGTTATATTTGCTTAGTTTGAGATTTGCTTACTTTGCTTCCCACTTTGAGATGAAGTTGGATGGTGAAAAATGTTTATATTAAAAAAAAAAAAAAATTTACTGGCATTACCCAGTGTGATGCAAACCTGAGAGTTAGAGAAGAAAAGACTCAGCTTTTCCTTTCTCTTTTTCCTATCAAGTGATTAAGCAGGGTGGAAGCTAGGTGGGGACAGTATGTCAGACAAGTGCAGGACCTACATCTGAGACCAGCTTTTCAGAAATTGAAGACATTCTCACAGAAGATTTTTATTGTAATCCATGTAGCCCTGAGCTCTTTTAGAATTCTGCCTTTCAGACTATGATTCAGAGTTAAAACTCATGCTTCTGGATGAATCTGAACCTAGGCTGATAGCACCTTGAATTAACTGCTGCCCCATGACTTGTCAAGATCCTATGCCAAGTGAAGCAACCATTTCCAGCCAGCTCCTAGCTGACAGTTGTCTGTAGTCCTGATGTCCCATAGACAAATTCTGAGACTGTGTCATACTTTTTGTGATCTCATTCGTGCCTTGCCTTTTAATAGTTAGGGTTAACACAACACTACCAACTGTCAAGACTCTTTGATATATCTTTTTTTTTCTTTTTTTTTCTTTTTTTCTTTTTTTTTTTTTTTCTTGCTTGGCATTGCTTCTATTGTGAAGCAATTTTTGTACTATTAATCAACACACCGTTTTTATCATTAATTTCTCTGTAAGTAATAAACTGTTTTCCTTTACACATGTTAAGAGCTATATATAACTTAGCAAATTTCTTCTAGTCTTATTTTCATACTACAGAGAAGATAGTAGTGTTGTTTTACATGTTAGCTTTGGGCATTTTATCTTGAATCCATGTCACTTCATTTTGACAACAGCCTGATGCAGTTGAAATTAATTGTTTCATTAAGCACTCATCAGATCTGCTACATAATGATGTATTATGTGGCAAAGCTAGATAGCTCCAAATGGCAACATTGAAATTATTCATGCCCCTAAGCATGAAAAGCAAAACATGAAAACTTGTGTGCTTGCTTAGAAATTTTACCCTTCCATCTTCTCTGAAAGTAATGTCTCATTTAAATATAAAGAAAAACTTTTGAGACTTTTCTGAACAATAAGGCATGTAACTTTTACAGGGAACTGATAGAATGTAGATCAACTGACTTGCCTGTGCTGCTTTTTAAGTAGAAACGCAAACGGATTTCCATTCTTCCAAAGTGTTTAAATCAAAATTTTCTTACTTACTGGCTGCTTTTCTTATCATTTAAGCACATTTAAAGCAAAGATAGGCTTTCTCCTTTCCTATGAGATCTACAGAATAGATGTTTGGAAACAAACTATTAGAAATATGTAATATTTCTAATTATTATAATGAAAGTAGACAATTAGATGCCAGTCCATTTCTACTTACAAAAGTGCAACAATGCCTACTGTGATCTCTGTTCCCCAGAACCAGAACCTCTGTTCAGGTACAGAATATATGAACACAGATATATTTAAAAAAAATACAATGATAATCTTCTTCATTACATAACTTAAGACTGTGTAATGCTTGTCTGATCTTGTGGCCTTTGTGATTTCCTAACAGCAATCTGAACTGAGTGTAATCTTATTAATGCAGTGAGGTAACATGAGTAATCTTTTGATTACAATAAGCACAAAATTACTGAAAATACAGCCAACATTAAATCAATTTGTCTTTATAGAATGCTATATAGAAATAGCCTCATCTTTTTTTAAGAAAATAAAATTAATATCCAAAAGCATATGATTATGAAGACATGCTTACATGAGGCATAATTTTAAGTAATCACACTTTATCGCCTTTCTGAGTGGCAACAATTATCTTCATTATGATCTGAGTTCTGTGATGGAAATAAAATTTGATTCAAACTAATTAAAGATGTGATCCTGAATATACATAAACATATCCTTAGTTATCCTCACAAGAGTAGGTCTATTGAAGTCAGTGAGCCTTACATATTAACAGGTATAAAGTTAAGCAGCTATACATACTCTTCTATGGATAAGCATAATATTTTGTAAAACAGAAATTCAAAGTCCGTTCCTAATAAAATGCAAAAATTATGGTGGAATGTAGGGTTTTGTTTTTAAGAATACTTAGGCTTACTCAGGTGTGAAGATCTGAGCGATTCAGTAATAATAACACACAAATGAAGATCTTTCTACTGTGAACTTAGTATACTAAGTTCAGGCATACTTAGTATACTGCAGTATAAAATTCTTAAGGCTGAAAGAATCACAAATTATGCAGTACATTTTTTTTTTTATATTTTTATAGAGCTGTTCAGTTAGAACTTGGCCATTCCATATTAAAATTAAATAGGAATGTGCCATATATAAATAGTTACTGACTATCACACTCCAATTTGCCCTGAAGCAAGCAAATGATGTTACTATAGCTTCTCAAGTGTATGATTTTGTTTTTAAGTTGGAAATTCAAATTTGATTGGGAAATGTACTAAAAGTTTTGCAATGAGTTTCTAACTATATTTTAAATAATGTCTTATACTCCAATACCATGAAATTTCCACCTAAATACTTTCATACCTGTGACTTGAGAAAATCATTACTTAAATACCATTTATTTGTGTGGGTTACTCCCACTCCTACGCCCCAAAGAAATTATAAAGAGCTAGGTGCTCTACACATGTAATAAGTAAGAATCCTTTCCCAAAGGAATTTCTATCTAAGGTAATGATATGCAGTAGATAGATTCAACAGGCAGGTAGAGAATAGAGGAAGTATACAGGGAAAATGAAATAATTTTATAAATTCTTCCAGTGTGGGAGTTCCCTAACCATTAAGGAACAGCATGTGAGATTTCTGAGGGGAATGTAGTCTGTTAAAGCCAATAACACTGGCATTGGATAGCTCAGTACTGGAAGAAAACAAGAATGTAAAAGAACTACTGAGACACGAATGGTCATTACAACAAAAACCAGTTGTATTTGATGCATAAGGAATGCAGAAGAGGAGGTGATGTATAGTGACCAACAATTAAGGGGATCTCTATTGTCACCTTTTTGACTGAATTTAAGTATAGCATATGTATTCAGAATTCTTAATATATGTAATGTACTACCAGGTAGGACCATACACAAATTACAGTGGATGGAAAAGTGTTAATGTTATTTTTGTACCTATTTTAATGAAGATATTTTCTTTCCCATCAGACTCCCTCTACTCTCCAGTTTTACTTCTGAGTTTATACTTTTCATTTTGAGAGAGCTGAATGGTTTTTCAAAAATTGGAATGATTGAGTTTACATTGTGAAAGAGAGAACGTTCACTGATGAATTGGCATAAACAGCGTAAGCAACAAAGCAGATGCACTTTTTCTAGTTCTGTTCTTCAAGATGAGATGGAACTTAGGAAACTGCAGTCCTCTGAAACAAAGAATCTGTCTTGAAAAGTGATGTACGGCAGGAAGAACCTTAGATCTAAATTCTGATGTCATGGCAGGAAGAACTTTAAATCCCAATCCAGACCTTACTTCATTGCTTCAGGGATTTCACCATTTCTTAATCACAGATAAGAAAACTATGAAAGTTTCCAGTATGTCCACCTTTTTTAGCTAATGATCAGTCCAAGTCCCCATCATTGGAAGGACGAGGCAAAAAGGCTATACTAAATGTTTGTCATGAACACTTCAGAGATCAAAGAATGTTCAAAAATTACAACCACAAGACTTTCCTTATTTGTATTGTAGTAAGCTTTGGGAATAGCAATTGGGAGGCTTTTAGCAAAAAACTATTTTAATATTTTTGTCAGTGGTCTATAAGTTAACTCTAAGTTAACTCTGATATTTTCATTGACTCAGTTAGTAATCCTCTGATGGCTTGTTAATTTTTCTTCTGGTTTTCTAA